ATAAACTACTTCAAAAGACCATATGGATGAAGACGTGCAGTGATAACAAATATGACCAATATTTAAGTGCATGCAAATCATAATTAATTCTCCGTGCACACATTTCAAACATGTTCAATGTTTTATAGCGCAACAATACCAAAGAGACGAATTTTGATCACTTTTAGGGAGTCATATCCATGTAAGCAGAAGAAGAATAGATAGATGGCAGACACGCTGTTAATTATTCATTCACATTTAAGATATTTATGCAACATAGATACTCATACACTTGTGGATTGCGTGAACACATTTTGCTAGTGGGCTTTATCCTTTCTTTTTGACTTCATCCAAATACTACTGTCCATTAAAAGTTAATGCATAAAATAAAAAGCGTTCTGCTTTACTATTGGCATTGATGGTTCCATGAAGAACCTTTAAAATCCATGGAACCTTTCCGGGTTCTTTATAGTGGAAAAAAGCGAAAAGAAAACTTCATTTTTGAGAGTGTATGGTGCAAATGTAGCTCAAACTATAGTATGTGTCACTAACAACGTGGAAGTGGGAATCGAACCACTCCTAGGCAATGTGTGAACAATACATTTAGGTTGCTTTGGCTAGAAATGTTGGCAAATGTAGATTAAAAAAAAAAATAAATAAATTTCGGATGCACTTCACTTTCCAATCTATTGACTTCTATTATGCGAACTCTGGAAAGCGGAAACACAGTTTTGAATTTTTGAACTTTTCAGAAATTCGCCGCATTCTAAAGTTTAGTGAACTCTGACCGGCGAATTCATATCACATGAACATGTGTGAGCAATAGAAGATCAATATGTCACAGCATGACCTCTTGGCTGGATGAACGCACATAAGGAAAGAATGCAGTAAAGTGGAATAGATAGTGTATTATTTAGGCTTAGACTTATTGTTAGGACTGTCAAACGATTAATCGCGATTAATCGCATCCAAAATAAAAGTTTGTGTTTATATAATATATGTGGGTGCACTGTGTATAATTATTTTGTATATATATATATAAATACACACATGCATGTATATTTAAGAAAAAAAAAATCATTTATATTTAAAATATTTATAAATAATATAAATTATATATAAATCTATATACAGTATATATACAAGCATGTGTGTGTATTTATATATATAAAATAATTATACACAGTGCACCCACATATATTATGTAAACACAAACTTTTATTTTGGATGCAATTAATCGGTTGACAGCCCTACTTATTATTTGTTATATGTTGAATTTAGGTTTATAAAAAAAGATGGTCTAGTCTAACCAAAATGGTTCTTTTAATAACTGATCCCTGAGAGACTCTCTGGGGAGCCAAAATTGGTGCGAAAAACCCCTTTGTATGCTGTAAATGTTGCGCAAACAATAGAACGTGCCACTAACAGAGCGAAGATCATGGGTTCGATTCCCAGGGAATGCGTAAACTAATAAAATGTGTGTCTTGAATAAATGTAGGTTGCTTTGGATGGAATTATAGTAGTGCTGGGCAACGATTAATCGCGATTAATCGCATCCAAAATAAAAGTTTCGGTTTACATAATAGATGTGTGTGTACTGCGTATAATTATTTTGAATATATAAATAAACACACATGCATGTATATATTTAAGAAATATATTTATATTATATATAAATATTAACATTTTATATATAAATAACACATATTTCTTAAATATATACATGCATGTGTATGTATTTATATATACAAAATAATTATACGCAGTACACTATTACGTGCACTATTATGTTAACAAACGTTTCTTTTGGATGCGATTAATCGCGATTAATCGTTGCCCAGCACTAAATTATACCTCTAAATACGAGACCCTCTCGAGTTCCTCTCGGACTTATATAGTAAAGCTGGACACGATGATGTGTCTTTATGTAACGTGAAATCTGTGTCTCTCTGTGTGTGTTAGAGGCAGCTGGAGCTCGGAGTCGCCTGCAGGAGGAAGTGTGAGGCTGATGCAACATGAGGTGAGTGAGAGCCAGAGGCCAGAAGAAGGGATGTGAACATCCTCTGCGGACCCTTCAGAGACACATGCACATGTGTGGGTTTGCTCGTGTAGCATGTTTGAGATTTGTTTTCCCATTGCACACAAATCCAAAAGAACAAAGATATACATGCAAATGACCTATAGCTACAGGAGAAAGACAGACAAAAAAAAATAATAATATTGGTGGATGCTGGGAGACACAACCTTACTGGCTGTAAATATTATTTTAAAGATATGTTGCTGTGTTAATCGCAAAATCATGACTTTGTTGCATTATACAAGAATTATGCAGCTTACAGGGAAAGTTATGAACCAACCTTCTTCTAGTATCGTGGAATGTTTGTTGGAAAGTTATCTGCTCTTCAATTATGGTCTCGAAATGTAAACACATAGTGTTTTTTTAGAATTTTCAGTTTAGTTCGTAACTTTTTATTAAATGTTACTACTTGTTCAAGAACATTCAGAGAAAATTCAAAAGTAACGTTCCCGTAATGTTGGCGAAATGATCAAATAGAATGTTCTTAAAGGGATAGTGTACCCAAAAATGAAAATTCTGTCATTATTTACTCACCCTCAAGTTGTTCCAAACCTGTATGAATTTAGTTCTTTTGCTGAACACAAAAGAAGATATTTTGAAGAATATAATATTTTGGACCCCATTGACTTCCATTGTATGGGGAAATATACTATGGAAGGCAATGGGGTGACATTCTTCAAAATATCTTAATTTGTGTTCAGCAGAAGAAAGAAATTCATACAGGTATAATTAAATCATGACAGAATTTTTATTTTTGAGTGAACTATCCCTTTACATTATTATTATTCTTTTTTTTAAACTGTATGTTTTAAGCATTCAGATATAATGTTTATGGGCACATTAGCAAAACGTTCTCACACTATATTTTTGTTAGCTGAGTATTTTGAGCCAGAAGACTCAATCACGGTGTGTGTGGTTTAGAAAACCAGGCCGAAGGCGACATTAAACCCCTGACCTATTTCTTCAAATCAGGTCGGTCGTATTGGGCCGTTACATTAGACTCCCATTGAAGTTCTCTGTGATAGCAGACGCTAATGATGTGATATTTCGATTGTAATTATGAAGCGCCGAGTCTGTGTGCGTCTGCACAGAAATAAGGCTAATAAACAGCATGCAAATATCAATAAGTAACAACAAAAACAGTTTCATACTAAATATATTCATATTTTTTTCTGCGGTTAATTTGTTGACTGTTGCTAAACAAGCACCGCTGTGCAAATATGAACAGCTCAGCTTTCATCAAAATCTTCATGTTGTCCAAACGTAAATGTGGATTTTTGTGTGCGAGGTGGATTTGCACGGGCTCCATCTCTTTTTTTTTTTTTTTCATGGTTCCCACCCAGGGAACAAAAGGCATGTGCATAATAAAATCATGCAAATGCATGCAAATTTCAAAGCCAAAATAGGGGTACGGACTTGGTGCTTTCCTTTGTGATGCAATCATCCCCCTCACTGTGTGCTTAAAGTGCTGGGTTAAGCAGGAGACAAAATGCTTTGAATGGAGGAGAAAAGAGAACAAAAAAAAAAACCCAAAACAGGTGTCTTTTCCTGTGCGCTAATGTTTTTATGTAAAATATACATAAAAAAGCATTGCTAATTATTGCTATTTAAAAAAAACTAAAATTCACACACCCACGTTAAACAAGAAAATGTATATATGTGTATATTTACTCTTAAAAAATCAAGTTGAAGTCGAGATTTTTTCATTGAACAGTTCTTGAAAGAATGATTTTTCTTAGTGTGAAGGACATTTTGTGTGTTGGAAAGGTTCTATGAATGTTAAAGGTCCAATGATATCAATAAAGAACATTTATATTCATATTAATAAGTCACAATTTTCAAATAAATATTACATTCTCAGAGCAGATTTATGTTTGACTTTTTAAAAAAAATAGAAGCTCAAAATACTTTTAGGCCACATTGATGTGGCGCATTAAGCTGTGTATAAACACAAAGTGGGTCTTCTTTCTTCGGACGAGAGGGGCTTCCCTCTCAGACACAATATGGCGAGATGTGCACAGGCCCAGCGTGCAGACAGACGCCTCGCAAGCTTCTTATAATGCGTGTCGACATTAACATTCTTGCATGTCTAATGCCGGGCTCGCAGCAGACACACAGTGTCCGGAGAGCGTGTGAATGGGGCCGTTATAGACAGCGCGGTCTTAATGATTTATTAATCTGCGCGGGCCTCATCTGCATATCGGAGCCTGGATGCTGAGCATCTCTGCTGGGCAGATGGGCTGACGTTCAGTGTGTGTGTGTGTATGTTGCAGTGCTGACGGCCATGCATGACCACAGGAACACACTCACTGCAGAGCTGCATGCTATTTCAAAAGGCAAAGACTGAATTCAGTCAATTTGATCAGTTTGCTAATCAATTGACACATTCACGAATTGTAGTGTCATTTTGAGTAAATTAATAAACTGATATTATTAGAATATAGAGCGATATGCATATGGGATCCAAAAAAATGCATTTTAGAAGATCCATTGAGTTTTAGGTCATGTTTTCTTTCCCTCTGTGATATTCCAGTGTGTGAAATACATTTAAACCCATTTTACCCAGGGATTTCATCTGAAATGTCTTAATAAAACATGGCTGCATGAATTATATGTACCAGTGTTAGTGAACGGAAACCATTTTGTGTGTGTTCTGTACAGTTAGCTACATGCATGCAGCCGTTAGATTTGAATGACACATTTATTTGAATTGCTGTAACGTATGCTGTGGGATACTCTACAGTTCAAAAGTTGGATCAGTTAAAAAAAAAGAAAAGAAATTGTCACATTAAAATGATCAAAAGTAACGTTAAAGACATTCATAATGTTACAAAAGATTTCCGTTCATCAAAATATCCTGATAATATCTATTGAAGCTTCCACAAAAATACGTACGAATCATCATTTATAATCAGAATATTCAAATGATTTCTGAAGGATCATGTGACACTGAAGACTGGAGTAATGATGCTGAAAATTCAGCTTTGCATCACAGGAATAAATTACATTTTAAAATATATTTGGTAGATAACACTGTAATATTTTTCACATTATTTTCATTGTATTTTTGATAATATATACTGTATAGATAGCCTTGGTGAGCATAACAGTCTTTTTTCCCCCAATAACATCTTACGGACCCCAAACTTTGAATGATTTATAAAACAGTGCAACATATCTTTTGCATTTGGAAAAATCACAGTCCTACAAGGCTAAATGTGAATTATAATCTATATTTAAATTGATGGAAACTGTACTTCCTTTTACGCTGCTCATATTAGCAAGAACATTGATGACAATGGAGAATACTAATGCATATTTATCATTGTGTTGGCATGTATACGTGTAAAAATTGACAAAAAAGTAATACGACGTGCAAACACACACAAATCTAAATGTGACGGGAAAAGCCATTTCCAGCTTTTAAACACTCTGCTAAACTTATATTAGATTACTAAAAAGCATTTTCACTTTTACAAACCTTTTACACTCGACAAATAAAATATGTAGAGGATGTTTTCAAAAACAACGTTTTGAAGCGCAAATTATTTTAGTCGCAATATTAAGGCTTAAATCAATTTTTACAATACTAAAGTTGGAGTCTTTTTCCAGACTTCTATTAACGTCTTTCCGTTGAAGTGTGTGGCGATTAAGCAGCGCTATTTCAGCTCTATGAGAGACGCTGCTCTCTCTCGGGTCCCATGATGGAGTTCTCTGTTGAGAGTGGCGATGGAGAGAAAAAGTAAAGGAGGGGAGGACAAATTGGAGGGGGCTTACGGTGGCCCAGTCAAAGGGTCCATTGTGCTGGGGCGAGGAGCAGAGTTAATCAGGAGACCCAACAGTAATCAACGGTAGAGTTTGGGTCGGACAACTGCTTGGGTAAACATCCATTGTTCTTGGGCTGAGGTACCAAACAATGCCAGCATTGTCCCCGGGTCTCTCATTAGGGTGTGCTGGGGGTTACGAGCTCTCGGCTCGGGCTGTTAAGAGCTTCGGAAGCGGATGGGAACCAGAGGGGTAAAGCCGAGTGGAGGGGGAGAGGAACAGGCCTCTCACAATCCCTTCGCCACAAAACCTTTTGGCCATGGGCCGCACAAGCCGCAGGAAAGAGAGAAAGGCCAAGCTTGTCATGACATCTTCACGTCAAAATCTCACGGGAGGTTCTCGTTCGAGAGGGGGGTGGGGTGGGGTGGAACTTCACAACAGGAGAGGATGACATGAAAATCAATTAGAGAAAGGAACCGATATTGATAAAATACAGACAGTCTTCACTAAATATATCCCATTTTCAATTTGTTGGTGTTGAAAATATGTTAATTAAAGCAGTACACCTTGTGAGGCTCTTTTAACTTTTTTAACTAAAAAAAGCCATACTATTAGTCAATATTTAATCAATTATCAAATGTAACCTATTTTCAAGTTGATTGTACGGAAATGTGTGATGGCAGTGTCTGTACACAACCATCATATAATGATAAAAAACAATCCAAAATTTTTCCCCGCCTCAAATTGAGCGTTCGTTTTTGTGACGTCAATAAAACAGACGCCCCTCCCGCGGTTGTTGATTGACAGCAGTGTTTCAACACAGACTCGGCCTGAGCGCGCTGTCATCATAGACTATAGTCCGCCATTGTTGATACGCTGGAGCAGAATGGCGTCTAAGCGATTGTGTTGTTCTGTTCTTGGGTGTAATAACGAACACAGTTATTTTGATGTTCCTAAATCCAGACCAGTTTTGTTTACGAAGGGAATATTCCCCACGATCAACGTCAATGCGTTCATGTTTGCGCGAATCATTTCTCACCAGACTTCTTTATAAACAAAGTTCAGTATAAAGCTGGTTTTGCTAAGAAGCTGCTCCCGAAAAAAGAATCGGTACCAACTATTCATGTCCATGCTGCACCTCCAGAAGAAGTGAGTTTAAAATTTCATTAACCTTTATA